ATAGTTGACCAAGCTAAGCTATATATTTGGCACTTTATTTTGTAACTTTGTGCATGACGGATTGAATTCTAAATTTCAGTAACTACTGTTTAATATTGATCATTAAGATTTTTTTTAAATGTTTGGTAATAGATGTAAATATTATGGTTGTGGTAAGACAAGCAAAAAATTCCCAGGTATTCATTTTTTTCGTTTTCCAAAAGATGATGATAGACGTAAAATTTAGTTAATAAACTCAGGTTATCGCTTAAATTTTAAATTTTTCTTTCAAACATTCAACTATTGTTTTTTTTTTTTTTTTTTAACATATATTAAATCATTTTTATAAAATTCTATTTCCCTTTTTAATGGGAAACATAAATTTATTTTTTCTTGATCCACAAAAACTTTACAATCGATTTATTTGCTAAGAGTATTTTTATCCTGGGAGTTTTAAAAAAATGTTAACAACAAGAAGAGATTAGTAAACACTGCTGTACCGTATGAATATCTATCTGAAGAACAACCATTTTCATCATCATCAGGTAATATTATTGTATTATATCAAATATACTTTTTTATTATTTAATCTATTTTTGAAATAATTTAATATTTTTACGATAAAAAGTTTTTATCGTAAAAATATTAAGAACACAAAGTATAATAAAAAAAGTTTTATTTTTAATTTTTTTTAACGATTTTCTCAATATGTTTAATGATTTTTGAATTTTATTTAACTACAGTCTTAAGTTTAATTTGAAACTATATACTTTTGTAGGATTGATCATTAATGAACCCGAGCAGGATTTTTTTTTATGAATACTCCGACCAAAACTTATTCACGTCCCAAATCTGACATGGTAGAATTAGTGTTTCCAAGTCCTTTCTTAAATTTATCCACTTCTTAAAAAAATAAAATTAACGATATAATAGAATTGCCGAGCCCAAATTTAAAAAGAAAATCGTATTCAATAGAAATTGACACTCCTAAAAAATTGAAACCGAAAAGAAAGTTAAATTAGAAGAATAATTCATAATAAAACTACCCAAATTTTGAAACTAAAAAAAAAAAAAAAAAAAAAAATGTAACTTTTCCGTAAATAATAAATTGAAAACTTTATTAGATGTTTATAAATTTCCATCTATTAATGCTAAATCAATGGTCACAATGCAACATAAAAAAGAGCGTCGTTCTTGGACAATAAATGAAAAAAATTTAGCATTAGGTTTATTTTATAAATCATCATCTGCATATAAATGTTTGCATTTATAAAAAGTTAATTTGCCGGGACCATCTACTATTCGTCGATGGATTAGTTAGTCAAAATTTTTACCAGATTTAAGTAAAATATTTTTTAATCGTCTTCAAAAAAAAAATTGAGTCCCAAAATTATAAGGAAACAGTGTACATTGTTAGTTTTGATGAAATGTATATTAAAACATTTTAAGAATATTTCAAAGATTTTGATTTTATTGATGGTTTCGAAGATTTAGGACATTATGGACGAACTAATAAAAGTGCAAATAGCGTTTTAGTTTTTATGGCTCGTGGTATATATTCTTCATGGAAATTTCTAATTGCTTACTTCCTTGCGCATCCTGGAGTGAATAAAAACATTTAAAAAAATTTAATAATTGATGTTCTTCAAAAATTATTTAAAGTCGGTTTACATTCAAAAATTATAGTATACGATCAAGGCACAAATAATCAGAGCACATTAAAATCTTTAAATATTTCTGAAAACAGTCCATTTTTTTTTTTTTTTTGTAAACAATAACAAATTTTTTTTTCTTTATTTGACGTAACTCATCTTCTTAAAAGTCTTCGAAACAATTTAATTGGCGCATGTTATATAAAAGATAATAAAATTATTTCATTTAATGATATTAAAAAAACTTACGAGTTAGATAAATTGAACAATAAAAGCAAATCTCTTATCAAAATAACAGATTCACACATTTACCCTACTTCTTTCCAAAAAATTCGCGTTAAATTAGCCACTCAATTCCATAGTTTACTCTAGAACAGGGATGGGTAACTGGCGGCCCGCGTACCTTTTTTATCTGGCCCGCGCTATATTTTCAAATTACTTCATATAATTTAAGTGCTTATCTGTATTTTATTTTATTTTATTACATTTTTCGATAAAATGTGGATATAAATTTTTATCTAATTTTAAACCGAAACTAAATTATTAAATGTCTAAATATATATTTATAATGGTGTAGCTAACATACTATTTATTTCATTTCATCAATTTAGTCATATCCGTACTGCCGTAGTGTCATACCGCCGCGCCGTTATTACTATTATTTTCGTGTTTTATAGTAATTATTTTAAAAATGTCCGCTAAAAAGTGTAAAATCGAAGACGAAAATAGAATTTTTAACAGCTTATGGGAGAATGAATATTTATTTATAATTAACAAACAAAAAAAAACCTCAATGTTTAGTTTGTTTAAATATTATTGCAGTACTAAAAGAATATAATTTGAAAAGACATTACATGACAAATCATTTGTCCAAATATGATAAATACACCGGTGTCACAAGAGAAAATTGTGTAATTGATCTGAAAAGAAAACTCCAATCTCAACAAAAGGTGATTGTAAAAGCAACAATTTCACAACAATTAAGTTTAATGGCATCGGTGTTTGATTCGTGTAGTGTTATTTATGTTGATGTTATAGTTAGGTATGCGTATTTTTTGATTGGGTTTTTATTTCTTTGATTGTTGACCATAATTTTTCGGATTTCTAATATTTTTTTTAACAATTTCACCATAGAAGTCTAATTTTTTGTTTTTTAATTAATTCTGATAATTTATTTCTGTATTGTTTATATTTATTGATTAGAGATGTGTTAAATGGTTGTAATCTGGTTATTTTGTGTAGCTTATCTCTCTTTTTTATCGAAACAATTATGCCTGGTGTAATCCATTGTTTTTAGTTATTATTGTTTTTGTATTTTGTGGTAGGTAGTATAATTTTTTGTGTTATTTAGTACCATATTTGTAAGATATGTTATTTGTTTTTCTGCAGATTTCATTATTTTTATTTTATTCCACTCCATTTTATTAAATGACAATGCTAGTTTACTATAATCGACAAATTTATAAGAACTGTTATTTTTGTTTTGTTGTTTAATGGGATTATTTAGTTGTAGAAAAAGTGGGTAATGATCTGTAATTAGAGAATCTATAACTGTAGCCTATGGAATATATTGATTATTGAAGTCTTTAATAAAAATATGGTCAGTACATGTATTTGATTTTGGTCGGGTAGGTCGATTTATAAGTTGAATGATACTATTTCAATTTAGGAAAATGCATCGATCAATGAAAAACTAATTGCGATATCAGGTAATAAAAAAAAGGTAATTTCATTATACAACATTATAGATAATTCAGGTTAATGATTACTTGCGTTATAATTATTTTCTTATTTTCATTAAAAAATGTATAGTAGCGCGTGAGGATACAAAAGAGATACAATAGAAACTTTTCAATATTAGGTACGTCATTAACTAAACCTTTTTTTAATGTAAAAAATTTCCCACTAATATGACCAAAAACAGTTGTACAAAGTTTGTTTAATGAAATAATGACTAAATAACAATTACAGAATATTTAACATATGCTAGTAGCATATTAATTTATAATTACATTTTACTAATTATTTTATTTTAACTATTTACTGTAACTCTATATAATGTAGTATTTGATCCATTTTAGAATCATTTGAATAGTATATGCTGGTTATTTATAAAAGATAATATAATCGTAAATGAATCGATTTTTTGATATTTAATTTTATTACATTTTTTCTATTTCAGAACTTTTAGTAAAAACTATTACAGTTAAACAATTAAAATATTAAATGTACATAATTAATACATGTGATAACAATAAGCGAAAGATTAAAAACTAAGCAAAATGGATAAAAATGATAAATAATATTGCAATTACTGAAAATAATAAATAAAAATAGTTGAGGAGAGTTAATACCAACTAATATAAAACGTTAACAATATGTAAATATAACTATGAACAAAAACATGAAGACAGAAATCACCCATGTACGACACTACTAGTTCAATAACAATATTTAGTGGGACAGTCTTATGATGGTGCTCAAAATATGAGAGGCCAATTTCATGAATTAAAAACTTATATACAACAAAAATGTCCATCTGCAACTTTTATTTGATGTTACGCACATAGGTAATTTACATTTTAGTTTTTATCATAGTTACTTATTATTATTATAACTATTCTTTTACATACATTTTTTTTCTTTTAGGCTAAACTTAGTTGTTGCTAAATCTGTCGGTTGCAATATAAATGTCATAGATATTTTTGGTAATCTAGAATCGGTTTACAATTTTATATGTGGAAGTAAGAAAAGAGTGGCTATTTATGAAACTAAACAAGATTATTATTGCGGTAAAAGAACTCGTAGGCCTAAGCTAGTCGCTACAACACGTTGGATGTCTCATGGATATGCCTTTGATTCAATATTAGAAACATACGAAGCTGTCGTTGAAACTTTGGATGATGTTAAGAATAAAGAAGGATGTAATGACCAAAGAATTGGACTTATTGCTGGCTGTCTTATAGAATACCTTCTTTCTAGGCGGTTTTTGTTAATAGCATTCTGTTTTAAATACATTTTTGAGATTCTTGAACCAGTCAACATTTTATTACAAAGTAAGGACCTTGACTTACATTCAACTATGAATAGCATACAGAATGCTCAGTTAGCTGTTCATAACCTTCGAGATAGTAATGTTTTTAATAAAATATTAATTGATGTTAATAATTTTATGAACAAATTTAGCCAATTTGAATTTTTTGATAAGCTTAATCAAAGAATTCATAGAAAAAAAAATGCCAGGCAATGAGGCTTTTGATGATCCTGTAATAGATCCAATAGAAAACGTCAGAATTAATACATTTTATGTTTGTTTGGACATCATAAATTCAGCATTTAGCGAATACTTTGGTAATAGTTCAATCGGAATTTATAAAGATTCATCATTGTTCAGTAAAAAGAGGCTAGATGAAATGAAAAAGTTCCAGCATCACTTCCAAAAGATGCTTTTTTAATATTTTGTAAGGTTTACAGAAAGTATATTGATCAGTACTGTTTAAACAAGAAGTACATTCATTTTTCAAAGATTTTTACCTCATTTGAAGAAAATGTCAATCTGTCTAAATATTTTCATGAAAAAGACCTCATAGAAGAAGAAGGAGAAGATAAAGAATTTTCATCAAAATCAAATAATGAAATTGAAATGGAACCTAGAAAAGTGCTTAATGTAGGGAGTATGAAAGCACTTAATTAAATTTTTCATGCGGGTAACTTGGGTTCTGTATTTCCATCACTTAATATTGTTCTTCAAATTGCTTTGACTTTCCCTGTTTCAAGTGCTACTACAGAAGGACACTTTCAAAGCTCAAAATAAAACTCGTTTAAGAAATACTATGAATAACACACGTTTAGAAGATTTAATGCTAATCACATGTGAACAAGACTTGTACAAAAATTCAAATATAGTTTTAGAAAAATTTTCATCTAACAGCACTGAATTATCAAAAATGTTAATTTAAATAAAATATTATAATTAGGTACCTAATGGTTATTTTTATTTATATATTTTTTTTAAAAATCAATGCACTACTAGCGCAAATGTGCAATTTACTAAATAAAATTAGCACATTAAATAATAGGAATACAATTTAGCAACATTTTATTGGTAGGTATTATGTATAACAAAACTAAGAGAAGTTACCACTAGGGTTGTCAACTCTTATTTACAGATAAGCGGGAAACCAGATATTTATATGCGGGACTTGACATAAAAAACCGGGACATACTTACAAATTTACAGAAACAAGAGAAAACGATTTTAATAATTGTTATCAGTTGTATTTAAAATTTGAAATATTCATATAAAATTAACAGAATAATTGCTATTTTAAAGCAATCATCACAAGTTTTTTTTTTAACACAAATTAGTAAATAAAGCACTTTTCCCAATTAAGAGTACCCTATCATAAGACAATTATTTTTTCTTTTTGAAAAAGTGCTTGTGTACTGACTACTGAATTGAAACTATAGTGCTCGAATTGTGGGGGGGGGGGGGGCGCAGGGGGACGGAGCTTCTCTACTATTTTTTTTTTGCGTACCCCAACTATATTTTTTCACCAGAACGGAGGGACGCCACGTTCATACTAATTGATGTCCAAAATAATTTTTATGTGAATTTCAATTTATGTCGATTTGAAAATAAATTTTACAATTTATAATATTAAAACTATTTTCGTAATTAAAGATTATATGGTGGTTATAATAAGGGACAACATCGTCATTTCTAGAAAAATATAAATAGCAATGTCAGTGAATTTGGTGTATTATACTTTATACATTGTACGGTTTGTTATTAATACTGGCGATCGACGATATCGGTATTTCGGAAAAAAATAAATGCCCACACCACGACTAATCTTCGGCCGTGGCCCGCACTAAAGAGTAAAAATAGATAAAAACAAAAACCAAATATATGATTATATCATTCGGTTCATGAAACTTCCTGATCGCCTACAATTATGTTAATTATTATTTTATTTTTATTTTCTATTTTAACATGTAGGATGTTGGTATTGCTATCAAAATATATTATATTTAGAATTAAAATATTTGTTTAGCTGAAATGTGGTATTTAAAATATATGTAAGGTTGGCGGAGGGTAGGGGCGAGAGACGAAGCCCCTTACGAGTCTGTGTTAAATAATTGTGCACGTGGAACGCAATTTTCGAATCGTTGGACTGAGCTCTACTTGATTTTTCCCAATTCGAGCACTGTGAATCTATAAATAGGTACTACCAATTTTTGATTAAACCGATACATGCAATCGATTCTGTTGGAATTTCGTATGGAAAATAGTTTTAAATGCGCACAATAAAAATGTAAGGCTTCTATAAAAAAATACTTATACAGGTTTACAAAAGGCGGAACAATGAGCGTTCCGCGGATACGCATCGCGGGACGTATTATTTGAGCTCTGGAAACGGGACGTCCCGCCTCACGCGGGAGGGTTGGCAACCCTAGTTACCACTTACAAGAAGCAACACCATTCTTTTTTTGGATACACGCCACTGATTGTCTGGCCGACTTTTGAAAATATTCTTTCATTTGGAACTGTTGTCGCCAATATACACAATCTTTTTTTCATAATTTGAAAAAGTCTGGTGTAAACATTTTTATTGTCTCTCCACCATAATAAAATAATATTATAACACTAAAAAATAATCATATAATTGACGCGGACCGGACGACAGCCGTTTACTACAACAGATGCCGCCGACCGCATTTCTAGTCTCCTAATCAGCCGACAGTTCGAGTATCGCGATACAGACGCGCTGTGCCCTGCACCTTCCTTCAGGAGAGGGGAGAGCGGAGCATCGGTACCGCCGAAGGCGTGTCGGCGAAATGACAAGCTGTTGTTCCTCAACTCTTTGCACGGTCGCATCGCCATTTTTTCTCTTGCACGTCACCTCACGTACCGTAACGAAAATACGAAAAAATCTTATTGTTCTGAATAGTTTATTGTTATTTTCTCGGTGCGTTATCTACGTTACAATTATTATTATTCAAATCGTGATTGTTTTTTTTGTAAGTTCAATATACGGTCCACCAGCCATTATCATTACACACTTTTCATTTTTATTATTTTGGTAATTGTTATTATTATAATTTGTGCGTCGTGTCACCAGCCGGCCCACGACATAATTATATAATTACATGATTTCCGATTTTCTGAGAAAAATTTATAATGTTGAATGCTTACAATCATAATTAGTTTCATATGCGATAAGTAGGGTTCGGAAGTTCTAGCAAATGCATTTTTTTTTTGGTTCATTTAAGAACATCCAAAGTGAGATACAAGTATGTTTCTTACTTCTCGGATATCATACACACAATATAGGAAATAATCACATTTTTTTGATAATAATTGTATTTATTTGGTTATGTTTTTAAAACATATTTTAATTATTGGAAATAAATAGACCTTATCAAATATTATTTTATATTTTCATCGGCAATTTGATGTATTAATAGTTAGTGACGTCATTGTCATTCCCTTATATCATTCATTAAATTATCAAACATTTTAATAATTTAGGATAATTTCCAAGGTAAATATATAAAATAATTTAATAATAAGTACATTTTTACAAATATATTTAAGTAATTTAACATTTTTGTTAACAGTTTATAATTTAATCAGTCCAGACTGTGTCAAATGAGCCCAACAATTTGTAAAATTACATATTTTTTGATTTTTTGTACTATCTTACTATCTATAGCGCATATTTAAGAACTAAAAAGTATCATTTTTAGTGCTACAACTTCTGAGCTCTGGCGATAAGCCATTTACGAATATGGACTATGAACTTGTGAGTCAAATCAAGACTTGAGACTTAAAGAGTTGATTAGAGTACTGGTAATCTGATTCATACAAACAATTGAAGAGTTGGGAGTCGACTCTTTGATTCAACTCATTAGACTGAACTGAATTGAAAGATTCAGTTCAGCAGAATGAGTTGAAATTCCTATCCCTATTGAAATTAGTTAAAAGGAACCTTTTATGTAATGAATTTACACAGAATGGTTATGTTCTGCGCAACATAATTTTTCTGTTTTGATATTCTTAATATCAAGAAAGAAATTAATGCTACATAAATAAATTATCACACAATCACTCGCATAATTGCACCCATCCAGTTACATTGTCGATCTATGATATACCGAGATACACTTTAGAGTATCACACAAGGGCGTATTCAGGTAGGAGATATGAGTTCTGTTGTCCTGAGCAGAAAATTTTTAAAAAGGTCAGACAAATAATAAATATTAATTATATATCAAACCAACACATTAATTTTGATATCATTTTTATGATTTACTCCCATCATGATTTTACAAATAAATCAACATATATTTATAATAACATAATTTTGTGATAAAATATTATCTTACTAGAGTAAATTTAAACTATAAAACTATCATAGTTGGAAATAAGAAGATTGTATAAGATCTCAGATTTACATTTAACGGTAAAAAAAGATTCTAGAAGGATTGTTTAGTTATAATCTATAAGAGTATGTTTTATTACAATATTAAAAAAATCAATATACTTTTTTAAGTCTTATCCAGTATAAATATACATTGATTTTTTTTTTATTAACATAAATTAACTCATTATATATACATACAAAATAAAATAGATAATTTTTATATATTTAAATTTAATATGTGTCATATCTATTTTTATACATATAGTTATAAATAATTTAATTACCTAAAGAAATTACATATAATATAAAACAATTTTATTTAAAAAAAAAAAATAATAACTAATTATTATATTAATAAATTAGGTAGAATTTGTTAAACTAGCCATTAAGAGTTCGATTTTATTTAAAAAATTTTTGCCTTCCATTTTATCCCATCGTACTTTTTTGAAGGAACCTCCTAAATTTTCCCATTTTCTTTCTTTTACCAGTTGACCACCAAAAAAATCTTTTTTCGGTGAATGTGCAATACTCACACAAACATTGCCTTGTGGTTCACATTTAACCGATATCAATCTGAATAAAAAATAAAAAATACCATGAATGGTGAAAACAAAATAACATTATATATTAGTAATACCTATCTCCTATTGGTGATGCTAATAAACATGAACTAGCATTTCCCATAGGTTCAACTGGACCAAGTCCAAGATGAGAAGAACTAGCTAAGAATTGCCATCCTTGTGTTTTAGCCACAGACTGCACTCCCATTATTTGATGTTGATAAATCTATAACAATTAATACATTAAATTAAAACATTGTATTATGAATTATTTAAATTATCTTATATTACTTGACAAAAAATGAGATCTCTTAATTCTTGAGGTTCATATGATAAATACATAACTCGACCATCACGACAAATACATTTCAATGATTTTTTCATTACATGTACAACTAAAGAAGTTCTACAAATACAGTCAAATCCATGTGAAACAATAGTTACTTTAACACAGGCTTGTGTTGGAGAATTTAATGAATTCCAATGTGAAATTATTATAGGATCTTTAACCTAGAATAAATAAATTATATTCACTTAGTATTTTAACAACTGTATAGCTTAAAATTAATTAACCTCTTTAGCTAATGTATCAATGACATATTCTGTGCGTAATCTCATAAAAAAATGTTGAGCTTGTTCAATGATTTGTTCCAATAAAGTTTGACTAAAAGTAATTCAAGAATGTAAGTATTATACATATTGATTTGTTTTAGTACTAAAATACTTTAATTTTTAACCTTTTAGACATTTCTAATAGTTCTAAACGATCTGATGCATTTGGGCCAGCAACTGCTCGACGTTTACTAGGACCTAAAGGCCCAGAAGAAGGATGAGGAAATGGTTGATGAGTATTTTTATGGTGTACTTCTCTTAGTAATTGATGTAAAGAGTGTTCCAATACATGGTCATGATCAGTTTTAGATGGTAGTACAGTATTAGGATTGCCATTTGTTGAACTATGACATAAGCCAATAATTAACTGTATACCAGGAAAGACCTGAATAAAAAATAAAATAATATTAGGATTTAAAAAATCAGAAAAAGTAATGGTTTCACTTTTACATACTGTAGCTGAAATTTGATTTCCAACAACCATGTGTGGAATCGTTGCTTGTAACTGAACTGCTTCCTTGGCTAGCTGATTGAACAATTCTTTACAAAATAACAAATTTTGTGCAGCTTCCAATTTTTGTTGCCAATGCATATCTGAATTAAGAGTAGCTGGGGCTGAACCAAGTAGATTTACTGAGGTATTAAAAATATTTTCTTGATCTAAAGAATAAAATTTAAAAAAAATAATTATAACTGTCAATTAATAAATAAAAATAAATATTGAATACTTAATGGAATCCAAAGAAAATTAAAATTACATTAATTTAGTAAGTGATAAATTATGCATTTCTCTCTTTCATTTTTATTTTAGTTATTTATTTTCTACACATAATATATTTATCAATAAATATGATTTATTGAATGTAATACTAATTCCTGTTTAATTAATCAAAATAACATATTAACTAAATAACATTTTTTTAATATATATTAAGTTACCTTTTTGGCATAGTACCATTATATATGATACTCCATGTAATTCAGTAGGTACAGTTACTCTTAGTGCAGAAGGTGATTTTGTCATTGAAACATTTTGACTGGGGGAAGATGATGGACTACTAGAAGAAGTTCCAATAGTTGATTGAACATCATCTTCAGCTTTTGTCACTTCAAACATCCCACTTTGTCCAAATTTTGAACCAGCTAGATAAAATATTAAACATTATGTTTGATTGTATTTAAAAAAAATTATAAACACAAAGAATTTATTAAAATAAATAATAAAACCAGAGCATGATGGAGTTTTGTGATACATTAATTTCCTATACAAAACCGACCTACAATTTATTTAACAGACCAAAAATATAAAAATAAAAAGATTTTTAAACATGATAAAAAAATGCATAATGTTATTATTTATATTTTACAAAAAACTGAAAATAAATGCAATTGTTTTATGGCTTAGTTAAATCTTCAAAACCTATTAGTTTATTGAAAACATTTAGAAAGAAAACATGCTTTCATTAGACGTACATATAATTGACATGTTCACTAATGAGTTAGATATATATATAAACAGATTTAGATTCATATATGGATTATATGTAAACATTTAACTTATCAAAAAAATAATAGAATCTTTTTAAATGATATTACCTGTTTTAAAACTCAAATCACCAATAATCGCTGTAGAAACTTTTTTTAATCTCCAATTTTGTCGTAACCTTAATAATTCAATATGAAAATCAGGTGTTGTTCGGTTTCTCATAAACTCATTCTGACTACTTCTTAAACGTTCTACAGCTGACATTATGATATTAGACGCACTAGCTAATGCCTAATGTCAAAACAAAAATAATACTATATCATTAAATTAATCATCCAACAAAAATCAGTATGATACAAGGACCAAATATTTATCTTTAGTTATGATGATGATAATTGATGAATATTGTATAGACTATAGAACTATAACAGAAAATATTTAAATATTAATAATAATAATAAAAAATACTTTATTATTATTATTATTATTATAAAGTAGTAAATAAGTAATAAAATAGAAAAAATTGGTTTTTTGAAATTATTTTTATTGATTCTGTAAATGTAAAACTATGGGGTCACAATAGATTTTTGGAAGAAAATTGGGGTCGTGGTCCTAAAAAGATTGAGAAGCACTGAATTAAACCATTAATGGGAAGTCATATAAATGTACAAATATACAATCATAAATTATCTTGGCACTGCTCGGCGCTCGGAATAACCAGTAGATCACCTATTTGGGTAGATAACGTACGACATCACTACCAAAATATCTTATAGTTAATACTTTACATTAAATTTTTATGTCATAAGATAAGAACTAATTCTACTATTAAAAGAAAAATAAACAAAAATTTTGTAAACATGTTAGGCCTATAATTTAAGTTAATATTATATAACTAATAATATTTAAGGTAAAATACTAATAAAATCAAAATATGCTTTTCTATAGTATACACTCAATTTCTAAATTTAAGTAATATATAATTTCAAGGGAATATTTTTAACTAAAAATTGTTAAATAAAAAAAGAAATATTTAAACTTAATTTATATGGCTCAAAATCTAAAATGATTTTAATTATTTATTCAAATGAAGTAACGTATAATATCTATATCATAAAATCTAAAAATTAAGCTCAGCAAACCTTTTTGCGAAGATATATTTGAGCCATTGGTTTGGTTTCAATAGAATCCGTGGGAATTGGATCTAGTATCATATATCGCTTTTCTTTTGTGACAGCTAAGACATCAGATATAACACAAATTTCTGTCGCTGCTCTCCTACTCAAAAAAAATAAAATAATAATAATAATTACTGAATAAACAAAATTGTTTAAAAATATACTGCAACATTACTTCAGCTTAGAAACAACTGAATCAATCCATCCGGATAAAGGTACATTAGGTGACTGCTCTTTGGGTTCTTCTTCACTTTTAACCTCCACTTCTGGTTGTTTAATATCTTCTTCAACCTTACTGAAGTCAATTCTTTGTGCAAGCTTTGACAAATTGTCTGACATAGACAATGCTCTTCAAAAATAAGCAATGTGTTATTACATTCATCAAATAACATAATTTTCATTCATTATCTAGTTAATGTTCAATAAAACCAAAAATATACTTACGGTTGATAGATTTCCTGTCCATCGTAAGAAATTTCTTGAATTATGTTTTCAGCCTGCGTTTCAATACTTATATTTACACTAGTAGAATATGCCATGATGGTCAATAATTTACAATAAATTTTATTTAATGAGTATATCTTCAATAAATATTAAAAATACTTAAATAAACTAAAAGAAAAATATGTTTTTGGCTTTAATACGAATTTATCTAAAACTTTTAATTTATTTAAATGTTATCATTTAGAACTTTATTGTAGCATCGCCTGAGTTTCAGAATTCTAGATGATAAAATATATCAATACCAAGCACAGATGCAAGACATATTAATGATACCACGGTAACAAAACCATTTTGAAGGTCATGGCTTATTATTCCATGGTTTTTAATATAATTTGTTGTGCCGATGATAACAAACATCGTATTTTGTTTACAACGACAATGTACTGAAGTTTTACAAAATAATTAAAAACATTCATTGTATTTCACGTAATATTTAATAGCTATAATTAAAAAGTAATTTAAGTTTATCTTTTTAAAAATGTCGAATTTTCCACCTACTCCTACCAATCCAAATGTTCAAAACAGATTCGGCCAGTACCCGAATCAGACTTATCCGGTTAGTTAAATTTTGTTTGTAAACATGTTTATTATTAGCTTTAACTCTACAGTCTGTGTGTATTACAGGTACAGCAAAGGCCTGGCATGTACCAACAAGGTGGTCCAATGCCTCAAGGCGTACCGCCAAATGCTATGATGGGAGCACGTGGACCACCAACTCAAGGTTTTAGTCCTATGAGACATGGAGCTGGCCCCATGGTACCAAACCAACCAACACCGGGCAAAAGACCAGCCGATAATCGAAATCCTCCTCCTATGAGCAAAGGGTACATATTTAAAAACTACAACAATATTATTTAATATATTTATTATACAAATAAATAAACAAGTAGTTTATACATAGAAGTAAATCATTAGCTAGGCTGGAGTATTATTATATTTATAGTTTACAAATGGTTTCAGATTAAATTTCATCATCGGGTATATATTATTAAGTTAATAAAATCTTGACTGGTTATTAAAAAATTAAGGAATTAAATAATTAAGGAATACAATGAGAAAAATTGGTTGTTTTCACAGAGATTATTTAATTTAATAGGAGAGATTATTTAAATTTAAAATAAGTTCTGACTAGAACTATTTATAGTAGTCACTCGATAATTTGAAATTCAGAGGACTAAGCTAAAAATTTGATTTATAGAGGTTTTCGATTTACCGAGTGTTCGAATAATCCAAGGAAAAAAATTAATTTGAATTAAAGAGAGGTGAAAAATTATATGTATATATTAAATTTATTAATTGACTATTATATATTATACATATTATGTATTTTACATTTATTAAGTGACATTTATTATATTATTATATTTTACTTTTTTAAGAAATCTGTTCTTTTTTTTTTTTTTTTTGTTAAATTGTTGGCCACAATCTGATCCATAGTGTTATCTAACTTACTGATAGTCTTGAAAATTGTATCGTATCCTTTTTCGTACATTTCAGAATGCTCGAAAATTTTTCGCAATTCTGACATAAAAATGGTAAAATTTTACGATTAAAGTTCAGATTAGGTAAGTAAGGTACGATAAAATATATAAACTACAATAATATTTAATTGCCGTTCTTATTCATTTCATTACAAGTAAGTAAAATAGATGTACATATGAATATACTTTATACATATGAACCTTCAAATTGTAGAATGAGTCCCACCAACAGACATTTCTAATTATCAAGGGGACTGGAATACATGTATTTTCTTCTAATTATAGAGGTTTTCTCAGGGGTCTAAGCATTTAGTTCAATTTATGGAGATTTTCAAATTATCGAGTGACTACTGTATTTATTTATATTTAATTTTACGTGTATTATGCAATTACTAATTTTTAATATTATTATATTATTTAATGTACTTATCTCCAATTATATAAATCATCTAAATCATCAACATTTTAAGTTATTATTGTAGGTTTTAAATAATAATTATTTTCTGTATAATATTACTTATGATTTTCCAAAGTGATTTTATTTATTATTAATCTCAATATTTTATTATAAAATTGACAACAACTATTTAAATTTATAAATTAGAAATACAGTATTAATCATAAGATAAATATAATTTAACTTTTGAAATCAATGTTTTTTACGATAAAAATATAATCAAAATAAATACAAGATAATTATTTTTTCATAACCACAAAAAAATAAAGTATTATTAGCACTATTACTATTATTTAAGTATTTTTTGACTGTATTATATTTTTAGTGATTTTCCTCACAATATACAAGTACAAAATAACAGTATTGGCATGAGTAAAAAAAAGAAAAAATTGGCTGATAAAATATTGCCTCAAAAAGTAAGGGATCTTGTTCCAGAATCCCAGGCATATATGGATCTTTTAGCTTTTGAAAGGAAATTGGATTCAACTATTATGAGGAAACGATTAGATATACAAGTAATATAAGATGTTTTTAAGTATTATCAATGTAAATATGTAAATCATTTTTTTATTTTTTCATGGTTTTTATAATTATAGGAAGCATTAAAACGCCCAATGAAGCAAAAACGTAAATTGCGTATATTTATATCAAATACATTTTATCCTGCTAAGGAGCCTGGTGAAAATGAAGAAGGTAGTGTTGCTTCATGGGAATTAAGAGTTGAAGGACGTTTGTTAGAAGATTCTAAAAATGAACCAAATAAAGTAATTATTTTTATAATTTAATTCAAATTGTATTTTTATTTATTTTATTTTGTAGATTAAAAGAAAATTTTCTTCTTTCTTTAAATCATTGGTAATTGAACTTGATAAAGATTTATATGGACCTGATAATCATTTGGTTGAATGGCACCGTACTGCAACCACTCAAGAAACTGATGGATTTCAAGTATGATATCAAAATGTATTCTACTTTAATAAATTTATATCTAACAATATTTTGAATAAAGGTAAAACGTCCTGGCGATAAAAATGTACGTTGTACAATTCTATTGCTTCTTGATTACCAACCATTACAATTTAAGTTGGATCAACGTTTAGCTCGTCTTTTGGGTGTTCACACTCAAACCAGACCTGTTATTATAAGTGCTTTATGGCAGTTTATAAAAACCCACAAATTACAAGTAAAAAAAACTACACAAACTATACAAATTATATAGTATAATAAGAAGTATATTTATTTAGGATTCTCATGAAAAAGAGTATATTAACTGTGACAAGTATTTGGAACAAATATTTAATTGTTCTCGTATGAAATTTGCTGAAGTTCCACAAAGACTTAATACTTTACTTCATCCTCCTGATCCAATAGTTATTAATCATATTATAAGGTAATATCAATTTTGTTTTTATTTTTTAATATAATAAATAAATCTTAAATTTAATTTATAAGTGTTGAGGGCGTTGAACAAAAACAAACAGCATGCTATGATATTGATGTTGAAGTTGATGATACGCTAAAAGCACAAATGAATAATTTCTTGCTATCCACTGCTAGTCAGCAAGAAATTCAGGTAATTTAATTTTTAAATTATACATAGGACTTTATTTTTTTAAAAATATCTTATAATTTTCAATCTAGAGCCTGGATAATAAAATTCACGAAACAGTTGAAACAATTAATCAATTAAAAACAAATAGAGAATTCTTTTTAAGTTTTGCTAAAGATCCTCAACAATTTATATATAAATGGATAATCTCACAAACTAGAGACTTAAAGGTATTTATGAAATTAATTATGGTTATTATAATGTTTTTGATTTATATATTATATTATATTATAAATTATACTCTTTAATTTTTTTAATGTGATACACTCATTTTATCAGTTAGCTTGTGTTTTAATAGTTTAATTTGAAGTCGTTGATAGTTTTCTACATAATCTTTTTAGAAATAATATTTTTGCTATTTAAAGAAAAAAATGTAGTGATAAAAAAAAGCTTTCATTTATATTTAATTATTAATATTTTTTTAATCATAAAAATATTATTTGTACATTAGAAGTATACATATTTTTTTTTTTTAACTATAGACAATGACAGATGTTGTGGGAAATCCTGAAGAAGAACGAAGAGCAGAATTTTACTATCAACCATGGACTCAAGAAGCTGTTAATCGTTACTTTTATTCAAAAGTTCAACAAAAACGGGCCGAACTTGAACATCAATTGGGTATTCGCAGTTCATAATACACATTTTTATTATTCTCTGCTATAATATTTATTTAGATGATGATTTTATAAAACATTTTTTATATAATAGTTAATATTAACTGCTTGTTTGTGAAATTTCTTGATAATATTTGTTTATTTGTTTTTTTTTGTAAGTCCATTTAATTAATGGTTAGTGGTATTTTTAATTTGATATGTAGTAGTTTATAAAAAGTACTGATAAGAAATACTTCATAACAAATAAATAATTTTAAGGTATATTATTCGATATTTCAGATAAATTACTTAAATATTAATATTAAGAATAAATATAAATAAATATTAGCATTTTTCTTACTATTTTTTTTTTTTTTATCGAAAACATATTCAATGCATATTATGATTTTAAAATGTTTAAGTTAAATTTTTAGCTTTTAAGATCCTGTCTTGCACTTATATTTATCCTAATATAATAATACTGATTAAATAAAAAATATTGTTAAGCTATGTGTTTTTCCTGGCTATAAAACCAATACGAAAATAAGTAAAATCACAGATTGTATAAATCTTATCTGTGATAGAATATTGACACTAATAGGTGTTTTCAGCTTACAGATTGCTCTGAGGACATTGAGATGTTATCAGCTGTGAACTTGATTGTTAGAATAGTATTAATATGCATGAAAACTCCAAGTAAGGTTTGTGATATTTATTTGTTTTTACCTATCTAAAGTGTATAAATTTATTCTAAAAATAAATTATTAAATTTTACTTATAAGGTTGATAGTTTGATCATTGTGACAAAAGCGACAAATGGAATTTAAGCTTCCATTGGCCCACATATGGAGATGCCAGGGGGTGCTTAGCACTCCCAAGTTCTAATTTAGTACTCCCAGTTCATTTTGAGGTAAAAATATTGTTTAAAAGAAATTATTTTGCATTTATAAGAATGAGTAATTAATGCCACAAACATATAATGTACATACATACGTTATACATGTATGTTTGCAGTAAGAGTATTGAGTATTTGTGTTTATATTACCTATGCATGTGATACTTTGATGATAGTAAAGTTTATTGCTGGAATACCATTTAGAATTTTGGTTTTGTTTATCGTATAAAGGTCCGATCACTTATTGGTAAAAAATAGTAATGTTTATTAATAATATTTAATTTTAATAAAGAAAATTGTTACATTTATAATTAAATGACGAAATTAAAACATTTTGTGCCAAGCAATTGTGGGGGGCTTTGCTCCTCACGGATCACCTTGGGGTGGATTATTTCTGCACTCCCATGTTATATACTGAATAAGAGCCTATTGAAGCTTCTCGACTAGATTTAGAATGTTTAAAAGGTTTATATGCATATCGAAATATTCTTAAAAATATTGAGGTGCATCCCAACAATATTTTCAAAGCGTGAAGCCCTAGACAAATGTCCAATTTGCCCTATTCTAGCTTGCTGTACTCTCACATTTCTTGTAGTATTTGTTGAATTATCACTGCTGGTTTATTATTGGATATGTTATTCTTAATTTTGTATATTATTTTGTCAGTTACCAATCTCTAACCAGTTTTTATTGGTACAATCACTCTTCAAATATTTTATTCAACCAAAGCCTCTTTGTCTTTTGTTGAATCCCCACTGTTTTCTCTGCTGCTTTTTGAATTATGGCTTTTATTACTGACTACATTACTTCTATGCAGTGTTAAAAAAAACTTTTAAATATATTGTAAAGTACCTAATTATTTTGTAATGCAACTGGACGAATCTATAGTTATTTATAAATTTTCTTAAGATTCTTATTTATGTAAAATATATTTACAAAGGAGAAATTTTAGGAGAATATTTATTTTGTCAAACTTTAGATACAAGAATTTTTAGATGGTAATGAGTTATTTACTTTTATTAAAATTTTTTTTTTTTTGAACTTAAAAGTTCAAGTCAAGATGTAAAATAAAGATAAATCTTAGTGATTTATCTGATTTATTGAGGGCAAGATATAAGGCCATTTGTACAGATGACTCAGCTGCACTTAGCGGGTAAAAGAGCTAAAGTTAACGACATTTCATCAAGAAAAATATTAACTATTGTATGATTCATAGAGGTGTTTTAGCAATAAGAACTCGAATCATTTGTCAATTAATTTGTACAAGATGCTATTAGTGTAATTAACTTTGTAAAATCAAAAAGCACTAAATTATAGTTTGTTTACGATACTTTGTAATCAAAAAAGAACTGATTATACAAAAATATTTCATCAAGAAAAATATTAACTAGGTATTGGATGATTCATAGGGATGTTTTAACAATAAAAAACTTGAAGCATTTGTCAATTAAGTTGTACAAGATGCTATTAGTGTAATTAACTTAATAAATTCAAAATCAAAGCACTAAATTGTAAATTGTTAACGATACTCTGTAATGAAATAAGATCTGATTATACAAAAATATTTCATCAAGTAAAATATTAACTATTGTATGATTCATAGGGATGTTTTAACAGCTAAAAAACTTGAACCATTTGTCAAATAAGTAATACAAAATGCTATTAGTGTAATTAACTTTATAAAATCAAAAAGCATTAATTTATAGATTGTTTATGATACTCTGTAATGAAATAAGATCTGATAATATAAAAATACTACTTCATACTGTACAGGCACGTCGTCAAGGGGGGGCCTTAGGGGGCCTGGCCCCCTAAGAAAAATCTGTGGCCCCGAACTGGCCCCCTTGATTTTAATTTTTAAATATTATTGTCTCAAACCGGCTAAATCCTGAATGTATATTCCATATGGGTATATGTAAACTCCTCCAGTTTTTTTTTGTTTACCTGCTCAGTGCTCACATTGCCACGTGCCTTCTCACATTAAATATGTTGACATCTATTGCCATGATGTATGTCGAAATTGATAAAATTATTGTCATGGTTGGATTTATTTCGAGGTGGATATATATTTACATTAATTCATTTATTAATAATTTTATTTTCATATTATCTGAAATTAGTATTTCCAATGATGATATCGGCAATAGGTAAGGTATACGTAAAGTATACTTTGACGAACATAATCATTTGCGTGTTTCCGTTTATATTTTATATTGAACGAAATATGTCGCAACAAAGTTATAATATAAAATTTATTACTGGTCAACGAGGCAATTTATTGGTTTTATTTAACAACTACAAATATAACCAAAATATAAAATTTGCGTCTGGTGAAATAAAATGGAGGTATGATATATAATATTAAAATAATAATATTCACTTATTATTAGGTACTTATTACTATGCTTAGGGACTTATAGTGCTAAAAAATACACAAATATGCATGCAAATATGCTTTCAAAATCATTATAATATGCATTTATGTGCATTAAAAAAAATAAAAGACCACATAGTTTACAAAAAAAAACGTGTCCATCGGATGTAAATGTATCTGTAAACTCCGAAACAAAACTTTGTAGTCGGCTACTCGTAGACTGTTGTACTTTCGGCATTACACAATGTTACAAAATATACTCTTATGACGATTTACGTATGATTCGACGTTGCGTGATTATAAAGGTAGCCATACACGGTCCGGTCGGCCTGTCAGTTATGCCTGCACAGGCCGCCGGAGACCAGTCGGCCGTTGTGTTTGTGGGTTCTGGTCGCCTGAACAGTTATATCTGTACAGGCCGCCGGAGAAAATATGAAAACTCGTTCGTCCATCCGGCCAAATTGCCAGACGGTTTAATTTTATTTCACAGTCCACGTGTTTATACTACACTGCATATTGCACTGCTCTGCACTTTTGTGAAGTTTTGTCATTAAAAAATGTCTCGAGAGAAAGAATCTCAGTGTATTGAAGATTTTATTAATATTTACCGAAGCGAACATTGTTTGTGGAAAATAAAATCTAGAGAATACCATGATAAATGCAAAAGGGACGTTTTTTAATTTTATTATTTTTCATGGCTATCAACAACCCTAAAACAGCAAGCGCGTCTTCGTTGGTAGCCATGTCTCTACAGTATAAAATAAATACAAACTTGCCGCGGCCGGACAGATTCGCCGGAACGTATGTGAGCGCTGCGTCAGTCCGGTCGACCGGTCTCCGGCGGCCTGTGCAGGCATAACTGACAGGCCAACCGAATCGTGTGTGGCTACCTTAAGACGTAAATACAACAACGGATACCTAATAATTAGTGATGGAACAAACGAGAGAAAATAATACTCGAAATACTCGATTGTTTTGAAAACCATCGAGTGATTCTCTCGGTATCGAAATCAGTTGAAATAATCAAGTGAAAAATGCTGGTTAGGTTAGATAAGGTCTAAGATAGGGTAACATTTAATTAGTAGGTAGTCGGTACCATACGTCTGAACAGACTATAATAATAATGGAATAAACTGAACACTAAACAAATAATCTATTATTCTATATCGACTATTATCTTTATCGACATACGGTCGATACGGGTTTTTTTTTTTTTTTTTTTATTAGAAAATAAGGCTTCAACATCACAGGTTATTAGCCTACCGTACATTAAATGTAAAAATAACAAAAAAAAAGATATGACTTAGTATTTACAGAAATTTTTACATAATTACAATTTATTTATAAGATTTATTTTAGTTAAGAATGTAATGATTTTAGTGATGTTATTTTCATTTAGTGCTTCTCCCATAGTCGGCGGTATTTTAAGGTGGTTTCTTATATCCAGGTACTTCGTGCATTCTTGGATTATGTGATGGATTGAAAGGTCAGTTTGGCATTCATCACAAGTGGGTGGTGGATTTTTGTTGAGGAGAAATGAGTGGGTTAGGAGTGAGTGTCCGATTTTGCATCTTGTGATGACAACTTCTTGTCGTCTGTTGAGATGGTAGGGTGGGGTCCATTTTTTAATATCTTTCCTAATTGTTTTGAGTTTATTTGAGAGAGGAATTGTATCCCAAAACTTTTGCCATCTAGAGTAAGTTTTATGCTTGATGGATGATTTGATGTCATTTGTCGATAAGTCGGAGGATGTTGGATGAGGGATGATTCTAATTGCAAGGTTAGCTGCCTTGTCAGCAATTTCGTTACCGGTTATGCCTATGTGGGACGGTACCCACATAAATTCGATGTTTGAAGTCGGGGTTAATATTTTTTGTATGTTTTGAGAATATTCGTTGGAAGGTAAGGGATTTTTAAGAGCAAGTAGGGCACTGAGTGAATCACTTAAAATTAGGATGTGGTTTGATGTGATCGTCTTTGCAAATA